AAGCGCGCCGACAGAAGCGCGATTTAAGTTAAGGTAAGGTTTAGGGTTAGGTTTTGGGTTAGGTTACAGTGCGCTTCTGTCGGCGCGCTTCAGGGCTCATTCGTCGCTCCTTCGTGGCGCGGTTTTGTCACCGCCGTTTAGTGAGGCGCGGTTTTGTCATTCGCCCATTTGTGGTGGAACCACTCAGATGACACTGAGGACACAGACAACCCTCCAAGTGGCCTCAACTACTCTCTAAAGAGAATGCAAATGACCAGCTTTCTGCAAGGAATATAAATCCTTCCATTCCCCACGATCCGGTTAGAGCTGAAGGAGCTTCTTGGATGAGAAGCTAAATGCCTTCAAAGAAAAAAACAAGAAAGTCCAGGTGCCTCTTCAAAAAGGACCTTCAAGAGAACCATGAACTGGATGACTAAGAATCTCCATAGACATTTAGACCTAAAGGATACCATCACATTAGAATTTGTAAACGTTGGAGAAAATATTCCGATCCTTGAGAATGTTCAAAAGACATGGGCCAAACAAGTAAGGAAGTGTTTAGGAGAGAATGACAAGCAACGTGACCATTTGATGTGATTTATGTAACAAACGGTCTGTGGGGCCTGACTTTTAGTACACCTTGTATTGCATACCAATTTACTAATATTTGTATACTGTAGCTGGCAGGCAGTCTGGAGGCCTCAGAATGGTTTGACATTACATTAAACAATCCCACAAATGTTCTCCGTTTTCCCCTCCTGTAAGTGATTCATCTTTTATACACACCACTGCCATGGCAATAAAGATTACAAAGCTTGTTTGCCTACTGCAATATTCCTCACATTTTCTGTTTCTAGAAGTTGTGGTAAGATCTTATGAAAATCAGGAAATTATTTTATCTATTTATAACATTTGGTTCCTACTTTCCACTGAGGAAGATAGGGTACATTAACCCAATCCCTTTCCTCTTCGGCTCACCACCAGCACTGGAACTGTGCATTATAGTGTTGAAATATAAGAACTCTGCTGGAATTAATCATTGAGCTTCAGGACTGATCTCAGTTTTGAACTTCAGTCTCCAGCATCCTAGACTAGCATTCTGAATTGCTATATTATGCCAGTTCATGTCTCAATGAGATGGACTAAGACTGGGGCTCTCTCATAGCTTGTATAAATGGCTTGTTTGGTTTAGGTTTACTATGTTGAGGGAAACTTGTTAATGTGCAGACTGGTTATGTCTTAATATGGAATATCTATTTATTAAATATGTATGTCATTTATCTCAGTCATGCAGTTCTGGGCAGCTTACACCAGAGCTGGTATTCAGCAGGTTCAGATCAGTTCTGGAGGAGCGGTAGCAGAAATTTTGAGTAGTTCATAGAACCAGTAAATACCATCTCTGACTGGCCCTGCCCCCATCTATTCTCTGCTTCCCAAGTCCCAGCTGATCGGGAGGGAATGGGGATTTTGCAGTAACCTTCCCCTGGAGTGGGGAGGGAATGGAGATTCTACAGTATCCTCCCACTGGATTGGGGTGGGAATGGAGATTTTACTGCATCCTTCCCCTGCCATGCCCATCAAGCCATGGCACACCCACACCACACCTACAGAACAAGAAGTAAAAAAATTTGAATCCCACCACTGGCTTACACCATCATAAAGTCAAATGGGTGAATAGGCGGCAATATAAATTCAATAAATAATAATAAAAGCACAATCTAAAAACCATAAAAGCATTTAAAACAATATTTGTGTAATTATTTATAACATTTATATAACTGCCCATCTTTCAACTGACTCTGGGCACATTAAAACAATATGAAAAGACCAGACAGATTTATTGACATCTCCTTGAGCATAGGTTTATCCCCACCCCCTGGCTCTTTTTTGGGTACCTTCTAGTGTGGATCCCTTGTAACTGCCTGGCCAATCCCTGCAATTTGCTTGGTAAGATTTCAGAAGTGGTTGCCATTGCTTGCTTTCTAGGGCTGAGAGTGATTGAGTGGCCCAAGGAAACCCACCAGGCTTCATACATAAGGTGGAACTATAATTATCTAGTTTCTAGGCTGGTACTTGCACCAAACTGGCTCTCATTCACCCCATCTAACTCTTTAAAAAGAACGAGCCATATGAAGGGCTGGAAATTGAACACCATTGGTTCAGTTCAGTTTAATTTTGAAACTCATCATTTCAAAAGGTTGTGCTTTAAAAAAAAAAAAAAACNGCACTTCCGTCCAATCATATCACTACCAGGGACTCTTACATACAACATTGCAAAAGAAATAACAAAAAGTTTTGGGCACCTCACAAGAGGAAGCAAACGCTCCATTAACACTCCATTACAGTGCCTCCAATCAGGGATATGACTATAGATGAGGACAAAATTATGACGTCATTTGATGTCACAACCCTGTTCACATCCATAGATCCAGAATTAGCCAACGAATCCATGACCATATTGTTTCACAGCACACCTGACTTGACCGAATACAGGAAGATCAAAATATAAATCTTGACATATCCTGTTAATTTCCTTGAATCTATAAATTGATAACATGCTAAACAGTATTATATAGAATTTATATCAGTTTCATATTAAAAGATATCTAAACTTCTGTAAGACTTCTGTAAGAACTTCAAATATATTACAGAATGAAAGTTTAAGCAAAGATATGTAGGTAAAATATGGAAACATACAAAATCATAGTTAATTCTTAATCAGCATCATTCTTTTAGTAAATATAGTAACTTGAGTTTAGGTACACAACTGTATATTGAAATTATTAGAATAAATTCAGAATTGACCAACTATAATCAATTAAATACAACTGAGTATTTTTCTTGATTCCAGGGATGGACTACTATTGCGAACCAAGTCTGAAGATATGATATCCCAGCTTCACACCAATCTTTTGGGAACTATGTTGACATGTAAAGCTGCTGTAAAGAGTATGATTCAACAGAAGGGTGGTGCTATTGTTAATGTTGGTATGTCTACCTAAGCAAACTTGGATTCATTATTTTAGTACTATATTTAATACATTATTTTTCTGGAAATGACATAAACAGTGTTTAAAAATACCCTTGCATAAGTTAATATATTAGAAAGTTATTATAAAAGTTATCCCTAATATTTTGGGTCTAAAATTCTCCTTTGGATGTAGTATCTTTTACGTACAAAAAGTCCTTTACATTTCAGGATAAAGCGATACTTAACAGGAGTCTGTAGAGATTCTCAGTCATTCAGGTCATAGTTGTTCCAAAGGTACTTTTTCAGGAGGCAACTAGACTTCCTTGTTTTTCCTTTTGAAGACGTTTCACTTCTCATCCAAGAAGCTTCTTCAGAATATTGGGGAATGGAAGGATTTATATTCCTTGTAGACATCTGGTCATTCTTTTAGAGCAGGGGTGTCAAACTCGATTTCATTGAGGGCTGTATTAGCATTGTGGTTGTCCCTGGGCTGCCGGGGTGGGAGAAGAGGTGTGTTCAGGGTGATTGCGGCCAACTAGGCTTGGTCTGGGGGAGGGTGTGGCCAGCTCAACTTTGCTCGCATGGGGGGTGCCTGTGGGGGCTGGGCAGGGTTGGCAGCAAATCCAGAAGGGTGAGGTGTGGCAGAGGGTGGGGATGCACGCTCACCACCCTTTTCTTTAGCTAGCACACTGGGCTGGCCATTGAAGCAGCAGGTGGGGAGTAATATGATGTGGATTGCTGGATGTGCTTATTCTGTCCCACTGTCTGTTTCTGGTTGCGGTTGGAGAGTGGGCCACTGCTGGTCATCTTGCGGGTCTTGCTCTTGGCCTGCGCTTGGAACGTATTCCCCTTGTACACCCGATGCATCCTGGCCCCGCTGCGGGCTGCTGCCGCCACTACCGCTCAACAGATCCACCCAGTCAGAAGGAGGTGAAGCAGCCAGCTAGAAAGGCCGAGTAGAGGTGGTAGAGCATGCTCAGGCCCAGTAGGCAAAAGACACCACCGTGAGCAGGGAAAGCCAGATCCCCATCAGCGCCATGGCCGCGCAGGCCTAGCAGAGATGGGGAGAGGCACACTATCCTGGCTGGGCCTGGTTGAAAACGGCACCGATAGGGATACAGCTTTTCCTGTATGGGGAGAGAGCAAAATTAGAAGCCTCTTTCTGGAGCCTCTGGCAGGATAAAAAAACCAACCCTGCAGAGCAGTGGCTTTCCTTTTTGTCCACCCTCCCCTCTGTTGCCTCCACGCCTGGACTGACTATGCTTGATGCCAAGAGGGCAGTTCTGCTTCTCCCCCCCCCAATGCCAGAAGCTGCACGCCACTGCCACTCATCTGCCATGCCCCCCCGCCAGCCCCTGCGGTCATCCATTGCCCATCACATGTTGCCAGGCAGAAGCCCCATGGCCTAAAGGTCCCATTCTGTCTCCTTCCTATTTCCTTCCTCCCTCCATGCTCAGGAAGGGACGACGGGAGGGGGAGAGATTGGCAGTGTGGCTTTACCATGCAGGGGTGGGGCATACCCAGGGTCTGGCGCTGATCTGCCACCTGGTGGCAGCAATCCAGGGCAGACTGTGGACAGTCTTAGATCCATGACACTGCCTTGGCGCCACCCCCTGGACATGTGCATAGGAGGCGGCAAGCGCACAAGGGCTGGCATCCTGGGTGAAAGGGAAGTATTCAGAACACAGTCCCCAGGGATGCCAGGTCCTGTGCACTCGCCACCTCCTGTGCACACACATGAGATGGGGCAGAGGCAGCACTGCAGATCTAAGGCTGGCGCAGTCTGACCCAGATGGCAGCCATCAGGTTGCAGATCAGTGCCTGGTTGGCCTTGGCCGGGCCGTGGCACCACAGGCCGGTCCTTTGCTGTTTCCGGGGTGGCCCCACAGGCCAGATCTAACCACCTCATGGGCCAGATCTGGCCCACAGGTCTTGTGTTTGACACCCGTACTTTAGAAGTTACAGCTCTGTACGAACTCTTTTGCTAATAATGCCTATTGTAGCTAATCATCAATAGGGGAAAGATGATTGGTAGTATGCAGGAAGCATGTAGTTATATGCAAACCTATAAAGGCCTTTTTTATTTTAAGAGGTGCCATCAAGTGAAATATACCTGGTTATGCATACTCCAAATTACATTTTCCACAGCAATTGCAGATCCCTACCTCTGCACATATATGGGGGGAAATAAAAACACTTGGCATTCACAAGCCTTCAAATCCAGACCAATATTGTACTTACAATTTATTTTACATTATTGTACCAACTTGATGGAGAGATTATCATAGAAGTTTCTTTTTAATATTTCTTTTTGTAGTACACATCTTACTAAGAGAAGATTTTTTTTAGCTGGAGGGACATATAAGCTCTAATAAACAATTACACAAATAAGCCTTTTAAGCTGTTTCTGGTTTTAAAAAATGAGGGACGGAAGCTCCTGTAACATTTGGAGTTAGGCTCATAATTGTAGATTGTAGGCATTGGGTATACTCATGTTTTCAAGTGATTCAAAAATGCTTACAACCATAATTATAAAAGAAGCTTAAATTCTTTAAGTTACACATAGGTTACATTTAAATGTTAGCTTTATGATATAAATCAGGAACTGAAAACGGAAAAACAGGGCACAAATACCGATGGATGGAAATAAGGAATGAATTTTTTGCTTTGGTCACATTTAATATAAATAAAATTTAACTGATACATCTGCTATATATTACTTTGATGCACTAAGAAGCTATCTTTTCAGAGTATAAGATGCTCCAGAGTATAAGACACACCATAGTTTTTGGGGAGGAAAATAAGAAAAAAAATTCTGCCTACCAGCATTCATTGGTATTCATCTGACTAGCGTCCTTAGCAAACAGCCTGGTCAGCTTCAGCACATTAGCCTGATCCAGCCCAAGCAGCTGATTGGCAGCAGGATCGGCCTCCCAGAATACCCCCGATCAGCTATTCCCAGAGGTGAACTTTAACAACAAGGTCACTGGTTATGAGCACGCATGCTAGCTACACTCGCATGCGCCTTGTTGGGGCAGATACGCAGCTTCAAAAATGCAGCTGATCGTCCAGTGAGTACAGCAGGTGAAGTGCGGACCTGGTCTGACAAGGCAGCAGCTGTTTTGAGTTGCCATTTTGGCCTCCACGCCTTGCTTTTTCACCCTCCAAAAGCTCCATTTGGGAGGCTGCCTTTTCAGCCCCTCCAAAACCTCAGTTTTTTGGGCGATGGTCTGTGGCAATCCCTGCAGCCTGGAACAGGTATAAAATGTGACGCGCGGAGGTTGAAGGGTAGGGACCAGCGGGTGTGCGGGGCTACATTTGATGTATAAGATGCACCCAAATTCTCACCCTCTTTTAAGGGGAAAAAGTGTGTCTTATACTCTGAAAAATACGGTATAAGACTGTCAAGAATGCTGATTACAACTATCCTTATTAACTCCTTGGTCCCATTGTAGTATGCCAGGTCAAACTATTAGAATAACAACCAATTCATGTACACCAGATCATTTCTCTGTCCTGCATGTCAGAATAGGTTTATTAATTCCTTTAGGATGTTATACTATGTTTCTGTCTGTATTTCCTTTCCTTACCAGTTGCAAACTTTGTCACCTTGTAGCTGGTGCTCATGGGTCTTCTGGATGCAAGAGACCAAGGACTCACTGCAGGATGTTGGTTTTGAAAATAAATGATAATTTAATGTTCTACTTTTGGCATTTCGGAGATGAGCCTTCCACCAGAGAAAGGCCTTCTCTTTCCTTTCAGTGTTTCAAAACAAAATAGTGCTTCTCCTTTGAATCCAAGGTGTCATAATACCTCCCACTTTAGCACTGAAAATATTCTTTATATTGTAGCTTTTAAAAATGACTGTGGCTAAACATATTTTTCATTCAGTTTTAAAACAGAAAATGTAGTGAAGACTTACATAGCTTATTTTTTTCTATACAGGTTTTATTTATTTATTTATTTTATAATTTTATATTATTTCAAATATGTATAAAAACAAAATCTATAGAGTAGGGTCATTATATTTATATACTTTTAATTCACCACAGTTACTTTTGGTGTATTTACACAAATGACAGCTTGAATGTTCATTGTAAGTCCTTCAAACAAATTGAAAAAAAAATGGGCAATTTTTGAAATTAGAAGTTATCAACATTCAATACTGTTATTGTAAATTGAATGTGCACAATTACAAATGTTGAACTTTTGAAAAGCTTTATTACTTTTATGTTTATTTTAGGAAGTATTGTTGGATTAAAAGGCAATGCAGGGCAAAGTGCATATAGCGCTAGCAAAGCAGGATTAGTTGGATTTTCACGCTCTTTTGCTAAAGAAGTAGCACCAAAGAACATTCAAGTCAACATGGTTGCTCCAGGTGAGTTTTGGGTTCAGTTGCCTATTCTTTGTCTAATAAGTCATGAAAGTCTCAAAACAAAAGTCTGCTGGTCGTTACCTATAAAGCCCTACATGGCATCGGACCTGGGTACCTGAGAGACCGCCTCCTGCCGATTACCTCTCTCAGTCCAATTAGATCGCACAGGTTAGGTCTTCTCCGGATTCCATCTGCCAGGCAATGTCGGCTGGCGACTCCCTGGGGGAGAGCTCCCTCTGCTCCTTTGTCTCTTTGACCCTTGCTCCTTCTCTT